CATAAGCTATTAAACGGTTAAACTATACGGTCCATTCCTCAGCTCGGTGTGGCAAGTCCCACGGGCTTGTGTCATTGAAATTTTTCTAGTCGTTACAGTAATAGTCTCTATCGCATAGCGGATATATATACATATACATATATATTAAAAAAAGAGTCAAAGGGGAGATGGAAAGGTTGAGAATGTTACGTAATATCTGTCTAAATGTGTCGTCAGTCGGTTCACGCCCACACGTACAAACCGATCATCTTCAAGAACATCGTCTCCTATCAGCAGGATGCTCGATTTTACGTAACAAGGGCTGAGAATTCGTGGAATCAGTCTGACACATGTATCCGTGTTCGCAGAACAGAAAATATATTTACTATTCAGGATACACGTGTACGATTTACGGTAATCTTCCTCTCGTTTCCAGATCTCTTTACTCCTTTCGGATTTTCTAATTTGTTACCGAGAATTTGTGCCAGTTTATCATTGGATGGAAGAAAGTTTTTTATAAAAATTTGGCAACATTTCTTTGCCGAGATAAATGAAGATTTGAGGAACCGTTGATTACACCACGAAGATCTCGGGGCTATTTTTAGTATATCACTCTTTCAAGAAATTCGTGGCATCTTACAGTTACGAATTTCAAAGTTAATTAGAATCAAACAAGCATGTTGATAGACACCATTTACGTAATTTTTGGTTGCGATCGATGACCTTGTCATACTTGCCAATAGGTAAGGTTATGGGTGAGAAGACCTTGAGGAAAGTGGCCCTGGTTGACAGAGTTATTAGCCGTCCGGAAGAATAGTCGGTAGTTACATATCGCGTGCCTTTTTCTACCTGAAACGGGCCTGCCGATTGCTTAACGTCACGTCGAGATGTTGGCAAATATAACCTTCCTCCGTCTGGTCCGACGAATGTGCCCATGGAAAGGGCGACAGTCGCGTCTCTTTAGAACAGTGATTATGGAGTAACGGATGAACCTTGACCCACCTACTGAAAGGTACGACCACGATGAAGAATCGAACGAACCTTGACCTGTCTATCCGTACGTACGATTGGCCGAAGAGGAATCGGTTTCCAGCGTGGTTACATATTCGATATTTACTCGTATCAGTGTCAATATTTGATCCGGATTTGTGAAATACCCGCCGTAAAGCGGAGGAACGATATTTACTGGTAATATCAGGTTGTTGCATATCAAGTAGTCAATTTCGAAACATAGAAAAAGTCTGACAAACATTGATGACATAAAAGTTTCCCAAAATAGCACTTACGATACATCAAATCGAAGCTTGAAGCTTCGTTTAAATGACTATGTAAAGATTTCGTGGATATTCTTATTATAAAATGGCTGTTTATTAATTTAAAGTAACAGCGAAGAAATTTGGAACGCGCGAGATCCGATATAAATCGATGACATAAAGGTGCTGTAAAACAGCATTTAGAATGAAACTTCCGGTAATTTCGGCGACTGGCAGACCCAAATAAAAGTCGGAAATAGCAATGTAAACGCTACTGTAATGAAACAGGGTTCGACGAACCTTGACACTCGAACCACGTGCTTTATATTCGGACCTTGTTTATGCTCGTGCACATCCGAGTGCACTTTTCGCGGACGATTCAACAAGTGATTCAGCCGCGAAACGAACACGAGGAAAGCATTGTCATCGTTGCACCTTTTTCACCGGAACGCCAGAAATATCGCGGAAGAGAATTGTTTTTTACGAGAACATTTGACATTTGATTCGTTGCCAATCTTTCGATGACTATTCATCGGTTTCTTTCCTCGCGTTCTGTTTGCTTAACGAGAAAGGAAGGAAATACATAAATAAAATGCATAAAATGGAAATGAAAAAGGAGGAAAAATTTGCGTGGCATAAAAATTGGACGATATCTTTTGTTTGTGTACGAGTATTATATGAAATACGCAAGGAGGGTGAAGAAGGTGGAAAGCAAAGAGTAAAGAGCAATACCGCCAGGCTTTTGACCGACGACAAGACGGCTCTTTAATTGAGATTCAACTCCTGGCACGGATAATCAAGTGAGTCAGCGTTTGCAGTTGTCTATCCGCCTCCCTTTCTGTCTGCTGGAATTCCAGTCTGACGAATCAATCGACCACGAAAGCGAGACACGATCTACCGATCGATCCACGCATCACGGTTAATTTAACCTGTTCATTTGATTTATTTTTTCATTTATCAAAGGCATGTACAAATGGTCAATTTAGAGACCATCCCCCTCTAACTCTGTCATACTTAATTATTCTTCCAATCGTGAAGACACGAAAGAAATATTTTATCGTTATGCGTATTTCTACACGAGTCATTTTTTGACAACATTCTGAACGAGGAAAATATCTCAGGATATAAAAATGTCAACTTTGATGTACTCAGAGGAATTTTTAGGAAAAAGAATATGACGATTTTTTAAAGAAATTCTTGACTGGCACGAACGAACCAAGTCTCATACAGTTTTGATTGCAAGGTGGACGTGCAAATGCGTTAACCTTGGAGGTTTGAAATCAATGCGAGTCGCATTGTTCGTTGAAACAAGCAAGCAGTCAGCGAGACCTTGGATCCGCCTTCGTTCTCTGAATTATTGGGGCAACAAACGTCAAACGGTTGATTTTAATTGGTCAGATAACACGATTGAACGAGCACTAGTCGCGAAACAGCAGCCTCGCGTTGGATTTCTTTACGCGAGGTCGACGAATCATTTTCCATATACAGATATTACATATTACCAATCCTCAATTCATTGTTCAACAGAGAAAATTCAGATCATTGATGAATATATTTTGCTTCGTAAATCTTTGAAATCCGGATCGGGATAATCAAACATTCCAGGCTATTAATAAACATTATCCTCATAAATTCAATCGGCTGATCGTTGATAATGATACAGAAAATTGAGATGGAAATAGTCGAATGTTTAAATGAAGAAGATCTTGCTATATATCTGACAGTTTGTAAGCCATTTGATACTTGATTAAATAATCCGACGAAAACGTGCGGCCGCCAACAAGTTGCTTCAAGGAGAACAGAATTGACACGTGGGTACGTTTAGAAGGAGTCGAAAAGGCTTGAGGAACACGTACAAACAAAATTCACAACGAGAATTTAACGACAGGCCTGACGAGAGCAATTCGTTGATTCGCCTAATTCCCGTTATAGCCAGCCTTGCCCTGGATCGCGTCTCGGCTCCTTCGGGCTAATTTGTATAATTGTTTTTAACAATAGAGCGCCACGGGAACGCCGTTGGATCCAAAGCGCACAGATTCCTCCACGTGAACGTGGCTAAGTGCGAGTTAACCGAATCACCTCGTTTCTTAATCTCCTCCAAATTGAAGGAAATAACACTAAAACGGTCTATTAAACTCGAGAAAACTATTCGTATAAAAATTTATTTTCTTTTTCTTCCTTTGTCGAGCTAAGTTTTGATAGTTTAACTTTGCAACTTGCACGTTTCGATAAAGGGAAACGTCGAAAGTGTACTTCTGCAAGGTTTCCGCTCCTTAGATGATGTCACAGTTCTTGTTAATGTTGTGACCGTAAGTGATAACCCATTTCTCAATATATACAAATTTATCTTAAACGAAGAAAGCCTTTCGGGGATAATACGATGCTTGAAAAAATTCCGTCAAAAATTATGTACGAAAATGATCACAGCTAATGATATGTATAAATAGCAGCCGAATTTGAAATTAACATTCAAGTTTGTGAAACAAGGCTGAGATGCACGAGCCCCTGGAATTAATTCATTCGAACAGGAGGGATCCTCGGTTCGGTGTAATGGATTTGTCTTTATTTGCGGCAAATTACATTAGCAGGGCGACACATGGTGCGATGACGCGAGATGAAATCGATAAATCGTTTCTCAGATACGAGCAAGCAAGTATCGATAGTGGTCGCTCGAATTACATGACGTCAATTAACCGCGATCATTTGCTCGAGGAAAGGAGAGCAAGTTTCTTCTTGTCGAAATTCATGAAAAAAAGAAACGTATCGCTCGAAATTGAGCAAATTTTGTCATACAATAGATTGTCTATTAATGGAACTAAAGAAACTTTGATAATATCACGTAGAAATTTCCTAGTACATATGTATGTACCCTTAGTCGATATCATCGTCCACGTGCGTGAAGGTGCGTGCGTCATTAACAGGCAGAGTTAATTACTTCCGGCTTAGGAATCGTTCAATCATGAATAACATTAAGCGAGCAACCTTCGGGCTCGACACATTTATGATGTCAAAGTCATTACAAAACGGCAATTTTATGTTTGTAAAACAGAAAGATAAGTATCTCTCAATTGCTTATTGTTAGCAACGTAATGTGACCAGAATGAAACGCTTGAAAAATGATACGTGAAAGAAGTTTTTTCAAATTTTCAAACCGCACTGGTTTGGATGATGAAAAAACAATTAATCGTAATCTCCCTCCCCGCACTCTGGTTACAACAGCCTGAAACGGCGAAAGATTGCGTGTTTCCGGTTTGAGTCAAGAATGAAGATTGACCTTGATACCAGAGTGCCAACAGAAACTACGAAACATAAGACTAAAATATTTCAGCATGCGGCAACCACGGTTTGCGCACAACTGACTGGGTGCATTATTGACTGTGTGCCAGATAAGTCATGATATGTAGAAAATCGCCACATATCCGCTATACATTAGCGTGAAATTCGCTGTTGGTCGGGTCAGTCACGACCCAAAGATACGAATAAAGATTTTCAAATAAAGAACCACAATGGATTCGCTTGAGAGTAAAACTTGCGCGAGAAATACACTCGAAACGCGAAAGAAAATGCATTCGCTATGCAACATTGACGGGACAATGAGAAACAAAGTCAGTAAATGTTTCCAATGTGGGCTCAAACGAGAAATCAATTGAAAAGAGGTAAATTCTATGTATTTTTGACCCTCGAATCCAAAACTGTTGATAAAATTTGGGGGTCGCTTGTACTTTTTAAGATAGGTTAGGTTAGGTTATCAGAAAAAATATAACTTACCTCACGGCAAAAACTTGGTCAGTCAACAATAGTCTCCTTAAACGAAGTGTTAAAAGTGGTACATGGCTAGCCAATTCTAATCTTGATATCACGACGATTGCCCGTTTTATTAAATATTTTCTCATGATGCGTCCTCCGCACTGTGCACTCTATGAATTAGTGATGGGCGACGCAGTATCGATATTTGGAATATCGATATTTCTTATTAGTTCAAATATCGATATTTTGTATCAATGTATCAAATATGTTTATCATATATAAAACAAATATTTGACTAGTCTATTTTTTACTGAACTGCACTTCCAATTTAATTGTACATATTGATATCAATAATATTAAGTATCGATACTGCAATATATCGTCATGTTAAATATGGATACAAAATATCGATATTTGAACTGAACAATATCGATACTATATCGTCCATCACTAGTTCATAGAGTGCACAGAAAATATCCAATAAAACGGGCAATCGTGATATCAAGATTAGAATTGGCTAGCCACGTACCACTTTTAACACTTCGTTTAAGAAGACTATTGTTGACTGGTCAAGCTTTTGCCGTGAGGTAAGTTATATTTTTTCTGATAACCTAACCTAACCTATGTAGGTTATTGATGCGCTTTAAAAGTAGCGTCTACCTCAGAAAGTCATTAACTTTTGAAAATAATGATTTTATGTCAATATTTACCACAATATCTTAGTAAATACAAGCGACACCTAAATTTTATCAACAGTTTTGGATTCGGGGGGCAAAAATATATAGAATTTACCTCTTTTCAATTGATTTCTCGTTGGGGCTCTAATCGTAGACATTTACCACAATGTCGAGTCCTTCGATTTTTATGACGCTATGCAAGCATTTATAACTCGTCAATGGTGAAACGTGTATCTAGCCGATTTCAAAAGTAGCTCACGGAGAATTGAAAATGGAACAGGACCATTTCTTCCGTAGAAACGAATCACGAGCGGTATCGGCTTGAATTAATCGAAGAAATATATCAAAAGATATTTAGAAGATGAAACGACGTTAACTGTCTCGAGGCTCGAATCATAAGTCCGATTAGTCACGAATCAGCTTTAACAACACCTTCCAGTGCACGTTGCTTCTTTTCACGTAACCTCGTGGCCATTATCTAACCAGGAAACGTCCTATTGACTAATATTGTTTGCAATACCATTATTATATCATCGCCTAGGTGGTCATTATTGCGCAACTATGCCGTCCTTTCCGATACCTCCATGTTCCTCCAGTTTGATCTCTCAAATCTCTTGTCTACTTAATTCTTCTCGTGCTGAACCACGAAGAGGAACACGTAACGTTGCTAGTCGAGGAAGATTTTTACGACGGATCTTTTAATCTTTTTCGAACGACCACGATGTTGCGAAGTAGCTATATTGTTAAATGGGTCTAGGAGACACTTGGGGTTCTTTCTATTCGAGTTTCATTGCCTGCAACTGTTTAACGATCTTTTAAGATGCGGTTCATTTTCAGAGAATAGATGTTCACATCTGCGTTCGAAAATCTAGGTTGGGTTTAATAAAATAGAACCGTGTTATTGTTCGTGAATCGTTTAAATGGTGTATTCTAGTACCGCTGCAGAGGCTCGGTTATATTTTCTATGTCCGAGGGTTATTCGAGAAACAACTGTTGAATTACTGAATTAGCATCGAATACTTGAAAGAAAAAAGATTCAAGTGCAAAGTCTATAGTCTTTAACTTGTTATCTGCAATGAATTTCCTTAGAACATCTAACGATTCTGACAGAGCAGTTCGCTTTGAAGTAAACTTGTTTAAATTTGAACGGTATATAATGGGAGAGCGAGTGAAAATATTTACCAAATCGTGGTGGTCGCGCAGTTTAACTCGAGTATCCGAATGCCAAGAGCTCGGTTCGATCTGCCGGGATCGCCGTGACCCCGGCCGCAACAACCCCCGTGCGGGAAATTGCGATCTCACCTTCGTTTGCTGGCAATGCCAGCCAACGACCTTGGCCTTGCCCGAATAAGACAACCTTGGCGTCGGATCGATGCGACCACCACTCGGCCGTGCAACTGCAACCGGGAAGCAACTGAATTCGAGCCACTTCTCACGTGTTCCCGGTTTAGATGCATCGCGTGCATTACATCCAACGCGTAAAACGCTTTTACTCTCACATATTCTATGAACCTTCTTCCACCTTCCTCTCGGTACATCCGCTTTTCCACGAGAAACGCAATGCTCCTAATGCATTTCGAAACTTTATGCAAGTATTTGGACTTAAGAAAAGCTGATGTAAATCGCAGTAACGTTTGGCAAGTGTTTATTTTGGTGAATCATGAAATTGGAACGGTTCGTACTTCGAGTAAGCAGAGTTTTCTTCCGTATACCCAAAATGGAAATGTAAAAGTTCATTCTGCAGTCGTTTTGAACATCAGAAAATCACGTCTCTCGTTGGCAGGATTGCACAACGTTATGCGAGATGTATGATGCGACAGCAGTTTTTTTTTTTTTTTCTGACCATGAAGTGCATTGTCACTTGTGGAATATTCCGCGAACATCGAAATGCACTCGCGTTAAATGCTAATGATTATAGCGGATAAAATGTTCAGAACACAAACAAGCATTATCTTATACAGTGGGCTATACGTGTAATAGGGTACTCCTTAGCTCGATTGCATCAAATCAGTGACATTAGTGAAAAAAGATACCTAAATCAATACTGATATCATCGAAAATGAATGAGGAGGCGTATAAGACCTAGTCTATCCGAAATTTTTTGATAAACTAAAAAGAAAAAGATGATCCGCCGAAACCGGTCGACCTTACGCGTTAACCTTGCAAACGAGTGGCTCAAGGGTGCAGGAATTGATAGGTCCAAAGATTTACAGTTACCGATGACGCGTAGTTCCCGGTTGGCAAAAGACGAATTACCTGTAATTCCCCGCGTTAAACGGCGCCTTCGCTTCGTACAACTCGGTGCAAAGTTGCCCGCGGATCGGCTGTACGCGCACGAGCGTGCATCTCTCCTCTCCGCTTCGACGACGCTCGTAGGAAGGTTCCACGAGCGACGACGACGGGTGTCGGTGGCACCGAACGTCGACGTTGTACAAGGACAAGGCCACGTGGTCACGGGCAGCCCGGGACGAACACGTATACATAGATAGATAAACATCGGCTACCAGTCATGCTCCAACGCTATACAACTCAACGACCGCCTATAATCGCCACCGTTATTAATTAGATCCAATATAAATATACGAAGAAAGTTTTGTACTACCTCTGATGTAGATCTATGAATGATCGAACATCGAGAGCCAGGATTTACTCGCTTCAATGTTTGAATTCTGTAACGTTCAAACAGGTTGCCTCGTGAAACCTTGGCTCGTGTCACAATGTTTATCACAAATATGATTTTTGAAACACATTGTAAATTTAACGTTGGTGTTACAACACCTTTACTTTGGTGAAATCTTATCTAAGTAATAGCTTCTTGAATATTGATTAGCATACTTTTTATGAACTGCATATGATGTACATTTCAATTGTATCGAATAGTAATGTAGAGTGTAGTAATGTAGAAATACTGAACTGTTTACCAATTATTTATCCAAACAAATTACACAACGGTACGAGTGATTTTTTATGTAACAACGTTGAATTCGAACAAGTGGAATAAATGGAGTACGAGCAAAATTGCTATTTAATTAATGAAACTTGTTTTTCCCTTGGCTGCTCTCTGTCCGATCAACGCGCGCTCATTTCACTTACGCTTTAATTTCACGGTTATCGCGATACTGCAAATATCTGTCACGTGTCGCGGGTACACAAGTACGATAAAAATAAATGCGATGATACTGGTAGAACATTTTTCATCGGTGGAAAATAGTGGTGCACACTATTACACGAACGTTCCATACGTAATCCTAACGTACGGTGCTATAATAAAACGTTCTAAAATATCTTAGGCGCAAGTAATCGATACTATCCTACCACAACGCCACGTTATATATGCTCCAATACAATTATACGCGCAATTTAGTTACGTATTAATGAATTTTTTTACACTTCTCTAAATGTTAGAGAACTGTAAAAATGCATAAGAGAATCTTTAAAATTATAAACTCGGAATTCCATTAACATAATTAAAAATATAATTACGTAATTTGGTGAAAAAAACTGGTCCGAATAATTAGCGAGGTCCTCGTAATCACCCAACTGTTACACATGGGTGTTCCGGGATTCGTGGCGCACCTACGTGCTTAACGTTTCAAGGACTCACCCGAGGAACACCGAAGATCGTACGACACCAACCTTGAGGAAGACGCACGTGTTCCGTACGTCGAGCGGGCCGGCCTTGAAATTTGTACGGATCGACAAGTTTCGGCGTGGCAGCGCGCCGTTCCGTGCCGCGTCGCGTCGCGACGCGCGGTCACTCGAGACGCCTCCGTTTACGAAACAGATAATCTCTGGTTCAGAAGAGCGGGAAATCGAGCAAGGTGATAGCAATGCACTTTATGCCACGTCCATCAGGATCGAACCAAGTGACGGCGACCTTGGCGATCCGATCTTCAGGTGAAATTATACTTTCGAACTTGTTCCCATCGGGCAGTTTATCGATTCCGATGATTTATCGCGATGGCCGTTCGCCTTGGATGAAACCTGCCATTCTGGCATGGAAATAGGATTTTTCTAAATGATCCTTTGTCACGCGTATTGTCGTACGTGCATCGGACAGATAAAATATGAAGGTTTCAGTGTATTTCAGGAGACTTTTTGAGCTGCGTTTTTTACGTGCAATGACGTGTTCGCGATTACATAAAACGGCTCTGCCCTTGTCTTCTCCGATTGGCGTTGCATTTTCTGATCTCGGATTATCGCGATCGCACGCCTTTAAGCGGATTTTTGGGAAGGTTACCGTTGCGGACAGGCGGCGCAAAGTTTTGCTTGAAAATTTTTCATGTAACTTTTGTGTTTCAAATTCTTACCATGTACGAGTACTTTTGTCCCTCGTGGCTTCGTTATCGGCCGCTCGTTTTGCCGCGATATCGGAGTGATTCAGCGGCAGACGAGTTCAAGTACGGATCCAAAGCAAAGCGTCGTCAGATCTTAACCTCGAGCAACGTCACGATTGTTTGATTATATTGCCGCTTCGCGGAAACTTTATCTACGGTCTTCCCAGCCTTGAGCTCGACGCTGTTTGGATCTGAACGCCCGTGGTAGATGCTTTGATTTCCGATTTCATCCGCGTATCGCGGCGCGGTTTCGCCGCGTTTATTATTTCGTTACTCGCCAGCGTTTCTATGCTTCCCCTCGTGATTGATCTAGCATTTTATTTTCTAGATTTCTCGAGTTTGAAAATTCTAGCTTATCATTTTATACAAATTCTGAGCTGTCGAGATAATCTCAGAAGGATGGTACTGCATTTTTCCTCGAATAAATAAGGGGGATGATTTTTTTCCTAATTGAAAAATGATGTTCATACGAAGTTGGAATGACAAAGCTTGGGATTTTCCTTTTTTCCTGGTCACCACGTACGATATTCCAATCGCCGAAGGGAAAGTTTCGGAAGGACGATGAGTGTCCAAAGGACATCTATTTTAAAATCCGTCCGTCCGTCCGAATGACATCAGCCGAGAAAGCTCTTTGTATTTCTTTTGGATTTTTTCAACCTTTGTTGTCGCCAAAAATTGGTCCAAAACAATGAATCTTCATTTATAACGAGACTAATTATAAATGTAACAATGCCGAATGAATTAGTTGAAAAGAAATCGTCCAATTATTTCGACGAGGAGAATAAAATGTTTTTGTTCGGCGGACAATAAAAGAAACTCGAATAATTTGCCCGTAAACCTTGTATCTACAACCGGCTGAAAGTCATTTTAGATCAGACTCGATGAAAACAACGGGATTAACACGTCCATTACAAATTCCCCGCAGAAATGATAATAATAATTTCATACTGTTCGCAACCAGGAAACTCGAGCATTGATTGTAACAATAAACGTCTTTAAACAGAAGCTTGTTTACCAGAATATAATCAGCAATATTCCAAGGACAAGTCTATAAATTCCTTAGGACAAAAACTCTTATCAAAAAAACGGGAGAAACATTTTTATTAAATTAAGATGAAATAATAAGAGGGGTGGCTCGGTTCGCGTCAGGCTCACCCTGGCCCCTACTTACAAGTTATTCCAACGACCAAGGATCCCATGCGCGCCGTGTCGACGACCCGGTTCGTTGGATGACCAAAAGGTATCACGTTACTCCGCAAGATCGGCCCGATGCCCGTCCCTGAATCACAGTTTGCCGCGTGAAAATCGTACTAAAAGTGTCGCAAGGACGTGGAACGGTCGGTTCGCTTTTCGTTTTAAAGCAGCAGCAGCCGCGCCGCGTACGTCCCGCGTTGCCCGCGTGCACGGCCTTCGACGTGATTTCTGGTGGAAAAGATCGAAGCATCGGCCACGGTAACCGTGTCTATACATAATGCTGACATAATATCTATACGCGGCCGGCCACGGTGGACCACGGTAAAAAATAAAATTCCATGGACCGTAGGACCTTGGCGGACAAAGAAGCTCGTGGAGCCGATTCGCATGGATCACCGCCACCGCGGGCCAGATGATCGAAGATAATATCCGCTGGGTGACGTCAAAGAGACAGATTCGGTTATCTTGTCTAAAAGTCGCGATCTTCCGAAATGTTCTTTTTTTTATATATTTCTTGAAATTGCTTGGATGGAACTATCGATTCGTATACGCGTGGATCACATTGTTCCAGGTTATGATCGCCGGATCTCTACTCGCACTTAGCCGTTTATCGCGATAACACGGGATCGTTACTTATCAGAGATCTGGATATAATCTATACGTGGTGTAAACAGAGGATCAATGGAAACGGTTGGGAAGTGTTATCGGGATTTCTTGCACGACTTTTCGATGCCTGGTAACCTGATAATCGAGCCACGTTTGTGAATGATCTTTTAATGCTTTGAGTGCCGCGTTAACGTAACAGTTTGTAGAAAAAAAGAATTGTTCAAGGCAAAATGAATTTGACGAGCTGAAACACCCTCGAACTCGATAATAAATCCTCGCTTCCGTTCGCGGAAGGGGTCGAATTACAGCAAGGCTAGCGCCGTTAGAATAGATCGTGTCTAATGTCTTTCTAAGAAGGAAGGATGGACGTGGCGCAGATCGAGCTGACGCGTGTCCATCCTTTGACTCACGTTTCCTCGAACGACGGTAGAATCTCAACGATCTAGTAGTACAAGAAGATTTGCCATTATCTTTCGTCTCCTTCATTTCAAAGGGGTGAAGGATATATAAATCTTTACCTAACTATCTCAATGTTTGAAACAAAGATGAAATTCATGGTAATACCGATTTTACGAAATTCCTCCCGCCGTTTAACGAATTCGCAAAAATATCGATTCTCGAAAGGTCAACTTGACACACGCGTTTCGATCGCGTTTCGGCCGCGGATTCTGACTCATCTGTGTGAACTTTCGTCGAATCACTGATAGCGAAACAACTCCTCCAACTCGTTACTCGCTCGTACCACTCGCGATATCGCGTTCGAGGACACCGGTATTTAACGTCGGCGCGTGTCGAACATCAAAATACCTGAAACAATCGATTTTCACGTTCGATTAGCCATTATTTTTCAAATATTCCTTTGAATTATTCTTTACCGTCTGATACCCTATTTCAGTTTCAATTATCTGTTTCAATAACGAGTAGTATAATGACAATTATAACCGGCCCGACCACGCATGATCGTTTCCACTGTGTCAACACCCTTCGAGCCCAAACTTGAACGTCTCAACTCGACAAATTTCATTCAGCCGTGATCGTTGCATAAAATTGTTCATAAGGAATAT